AAAAAAAAAAAGGGGAAGACTCAGAAAATTTAAAGGAAAAAAGGATATAAGGACTATGATATTTTGCCCACTGTGTCGATTCCTCAACTAAGCATGTGCACATATACTACAAAGGGAAATCGATAAAAACATTCTCAGAATACTTGGTGCAGCTTAATTTCCCCCTATTTTTTGTTTTATTCTTTTTCTCTGGCCCACCAAATTTGCTGCATGGGCTTTAAAATCAGCAAAATTGAGAGCTCCTAGCCCTCCTTGCTTCTGAACCAGATGAATAGATCATGTCCACAAGATTGTCACACAATGTTCAACAGCAACACTTGGTCACCTATGGGAGAGAAAGGCTTCCATCCAGCCATAACAGTTTCATGGTGTCACAAACCTCAAACCTACAAAAGTAGCCACTGCATGGATAAAGGTCAAACCTAATGATCTTGGCCCTGTGACAAAACAGGAACTTAATCCTTGAAGCAAATACACTTTAGCAACCTGGTCCAGAAACTAACCACCTCTTTTGATTTGGTTGGGTCAACAGGTTCCTTGAATTTTGCATTTTGGCTAAGCTCTTCAAAGGAGTCAACAAGATTTTGAAGCCTTGCAACAAATTCAATTAACAAGGAAGTAAATGTTGCCAATGACAATGCACTTGCACTTTCATAAGTCTTTACTTCACGTTCATTGAGAATGGTATCACCGAAAACTGAGAGACGGGATGGCCATTGTGTCTGCTGCTTTAACATGATTTCTGAGGAGCCCAATTGTGGCACAGAAACATTGGTGCTCATGTTTGGATTATGAGGATCCCAGTTTCTTAATGTCTGAGCTGATCTCAGGTTGAGATTTGCTTCACTGAGGGAGTTTATCACCAAATTTTTATTTTCATTGTCCTTTAGTTCTTCGAAGTTATCCAGGTCTTCAAATTTCTTAGGTCGTATCCCACTTTCCAAGATCCCAGGATTGACCATAAGGTATGATTTTTGATCTATCTTCATTTGCAACTCTTCTGCAGCCTCATGCACTTCATGGAGCAAGTCACCAGGGCTTAATTTTTCCATCTTTTCTACTTTGTCTCTAAGCACGTGCAACACTTTAGCTCCTTCAGTGCCTACCCTATGAATCTCGTTCCTAAACACCTGTCTTAATTCAGAAGCCGCCTATAAGAAAGAGGCAAAAAGACTCAGCCCAATATACCAATCTGTAAATCATTAAAAAACCAAAAGAAACCCCCAAAAAATAAAATGTAATCATTCAACTACTTGGACAAGCAAATGGTCATAGAAGCATACTTATGTCCATATGGAATTAGGAAGGGCAACAGAGATGACTAGAACCACAGAATATACATCATTTTGGGTAACAAATTTGGCAAGATTCCATTTCCATGCATGCAGCTATATTGGCTTTCACACCTTTGGTTTTGAATCACATAATGTACCAGATAATTCACTAAAGAAAAATATTAAGTTTTCCCTTTTGTGAAGCATAAAGAAAAAAGAGGTCACACATAGACTCCAACTGCATCACCGTACATAACCTCATCTAAAGTCTCAACAAGGGAGGCACAAGAGGTAACATTCGGAGTAATGATAAGCACTGCTAAGTAGTACTCTGGTTCAAATTCGGAAATCAGCCTCTTCAGAAAAGTGAAGGCTATCACTACCTCTCCAAACACCCTTATAGGTGGGAGCCTTGTGCAACGATACTACTTTTACTTTTCAATACAGGATGCAAAGTTTGCTGTCCATAAATTCATTATCAAATGAGGATATCATCATGATTAGCTGTACTGCATGATCAAACACCTCACATACCAAAAGAAAGACACAAACATGCAAAGCACACATAAAGGCAGCACAACCCAAATTTTGTTCAGGTAAAATGCTGACCAACAAACCCAATGAAACTCAATATAGATATATTTCTGCACATTAGCCATTACATATTTCTACACCAGAACAACCTATTGTACCATTACATCTAATATTCGTTTTGTCCAAGTCAAGAATATTGCAAAAAATTTTATGCCAGCAGTCTTAGGTCCTTAGAAAATTATTCACATCAGGTATTCAGGTGTCATTCAGGTGCAAAAATTTCCTTCCCTTTTCAATTTGGTTTTAGAAGGATGAAGAAGAAAGATCAAACACATCCATCATTTTACCCATTTCAAAGAAACAACTAATCGCTACGTGTATATGTGTACCAACTATTTCATCATCTTGTAAATGTCAGTGTATCTGTGTGTGAGAGATTGACAAAGTGAAGGTGTTATATTGCAAACTGTTACGTAAGATAGAATTTTAGACTAGCCTGAGAAGGATTACATAGCTAGCATATTGATGATTACCTAGTAATAAATTGACAGAATCAATTTATTTTGCCTTTTTTTCGTTTTTCTGTTGGGGACTGGGTGTGTATAGGAGGTGGGATAGCAACACCACTGACCCAAAAATTTTCTAATTTGGTGGTTATGCATGCACACACATGTACTACAACGTATGGACATGAAAATGTCTGGGTCAGTAACCATTATGCAGTTGCCATCAAGTACAGTTGGTTCCTTAGTTCATTCTAGCTAAGCCACCACAATAATTAATCAAAAAAGGGTTGAATAGATAATAAGGGAAGATACTTGAGCAACATAAAAAACACACCAAAGGCAATTAAATAGATACTATAAGATTGCCAACCAGCATCTAATGTTGCAGGAACATGCCAGTTATCATGGCTATGTTAGAGTAGAATGCCATAGCAGTAGCATAAGAAACTAAAAAAATGATACTGTCTACTAAAGACAGCCAAGAAAATTTCACCTGTATTTGTGAGAGTATACTCCCATGCATTGCCATGACCATGAATGCACAATGCCGCAATGCACCACTAACTTTAACATAGTCACTCCAAGGATAGTTGAACATTTTGTAACGGCCATGAGGTGGTTCCCATACAGCAAAGTTTAACTGTGTGAAAAAGTTGAAACTAAATTATTTCTGTGTGCCATATAACCTAAGATAAAGCATTGCCATAAGCAGTAGCTTACAAGGGAATCCTCTTGGCTTGTGGACTCCACAGCAGATCTGTATCCTTTATAAACAAGGTCATCAGAAGCCTGGTAGAATAGAATTTTTGAAGGGATCCTCTCGTATTCAACGCTGTCCAAGTACCCATTAACACAATCTGCACAAAAGCTCATGGGACTCGATCAAGCATATCAAGTCAACTGACAAAAATAAAAATTGAAAGTGTAAGGCAAACTAGTCGGGAATATTAATCTAACCTTCCAAGGAAGTAGCAACACCCTTAAAATTTTTCACCACCAATTTGTGTAAATCCTCTCCAGCCCAAATGGGATAAACACAGATATTAACAAGCAAACACACACCAGCTCCAACAGCAATTAGCAAGAACCGAGAAACAGCAGTTTGGATAAAATTTGAAGTCCCCGATACCAAGACGATACAAAATGTCAACAGGAAAACCCGAAACCCATATTCGTATTGCTTCATCGACGGGTGCAGCTTCAAATAACTTGCACAAAACCCTAAAATCCACACAACAAAAAAGATCCCAAATATGAAAAGGAATTCTTATGCACCAAGAAGGAAGCTTATAAAACAGACAATTTGAGCATCACATACAAAGACAATGTGATTAATGTAGAAGGGTACTGTTTGATACTATGTACTAAGATTCTGACCTGCCATAAAAATGCTGAAAACGATAACAAATTCTTGCCAATCTCCAGCCAACACAGATAGTTCAGCAATGCCCAGAGAAAGTGCGCCGGCAGATACTGTCCCCAAGGCGCGGTTAAATCCTTTGTTAAGTGTGGCTCCTACATATAATCACAAACACACGTTCGTGTGAATGAAAATAAAAAAAATCGAATTCAATGAATATAATTACTTGTATTGAATTAAAAAAACATGTGGATTACCTATGCTGAATTCGAAAACAACGACAACGGTGAGGATCGCCCAGATGGAGTGTTGCCCAATATAATTGAGTGGTTCTTTGAAGAATATGAGAACCGAAACGAGCACGAGAGCCAATCCCATTTTAGCTGCAAATATGACTTTTCGAGGATCAGAGCGACCCATTTTATATGCTTTAACTGCATTTTCTCGAACAGTAATCCAAAAATTTGTAAATTTATCGCCAACTGATCGAATACAACCGCATCTGAGACCTTCATCACCACCATAAGATTCACCCAATCCTAATTCTGAATACCCTTTTCTGGATAGCAACCTTTCTCTGCTTCTCTCTGCAAAACTTCGCCTCAAGGATGCAATATTGGCTGCCATTTTTTTGCTGCTGCTATTGCTTGAATATAGAATTCATGAAAGAAGAACAAATAACAATTGATTCAGAAAGGAGAGACGAGGTGGGGGAGAAAAGGGCAGCCGTGACTCCTCGTGATCCAAGTGTTTATACATAAATTAGTGTCTGTTCATAAGGTCGTTGAACTTTTGAAGTTAAAGTTAGAGAGAGAGAGAGAGAGAGAGAGAGAGAGAGAGAGAGAGAGTCTGTGAGCCAGGCGGGACATCGGTTGGAAAGTTGAAAGGTTGTTTGATAGTTAGATGCTACAGTCAGGTACACCCGGAGGCCCAGGGCTCGACTTTCAAGCCGTCCGATCTTACACCATATGGGCTACAGGAGATGGCCGAGTCCATCATTCCCTTTACCTTTAATTAGGTTAGGTGGGACTAGAGGCGACAAATGAGCATATGGGGTTAGTTATGAGCTCATTTAAAATGAGTTTGATGTAAAATAAATTTAATTTGTTTTTAACTTGTTTAATAAATAAGTTATAATGAATTGAGTTAAATTCATTAATTTTTAAAATAATTAAAAATTTTAATATAAATATATATTAATACACTAAATAAAACACACAAAAATACATACTAGTTCGCCAAAGTTGGGTCGAGTCCGGTGTCTGAGGTCGGGGTCCAAGTTTGGGGTGGGATGCTAACTAGTGGATAGAAATAGAGNTTTTAAATGACATGCCTGTCACATCAGCAAAGGAGTTTTGGAAGGTCATTCACTGTGATATAAAAACTAGAGTTAATTCAAAGGACAGAGTGCACATTCGTATATGCAAATAAGCTCTCTCTAGCCTTAACGAACGTAGTAAAATTCTAGACAGTTTGGTATTCTATTACAACTGTGGTTCTCAAAGTTTGTATTTTTTCTCATTTTGATGTTACAATTATATCACATTGGTCTTTGATGTATTGAATTTGTTTTTAAGTGGCCCCCGTGTATAACACTGTTTAAATTTTTAACAGTTTTTATTCATGTACATTTTCATGTACTCCCAAATGAAGGGTATTTTACCCTGAAGATTACTTTAACTCCAGAGCTAGTACTGGTATTTTGTTCCTCTGAACCTCAAGGTAACAATTCTTTTATTGAACCATTTCTCCTTAGAGTTAATGTCAAGGTGCTTCTCAACCTCTCCTCCACTTTCCAATGGTTTGCTGCAACGGCGTCAGGCTTATAGCTTTTCCAGGAAAAAGGCATAGGCATGAGTTGACATATTTAGTGTATCATGCCATAGGATTCCAGGAAAGACATAGCATTTATAATTATATACCAAGTATATCAATGCTAGACTCCGTTAAACACCATATTCAATTCTTATTTCCTGTCCATATGAATCAAACTCAGATACTACCACCTCCAAAGATAAATAAGCAGAACAATAGTGGGAAAAAAAATTTAAAATTATAGAGCTGTTATGGCCTTTAATTAACTACCTGTTGCAATTATTCATGGAACTATTGCTGCTTAACTTGATATTGAGAATAAACTGGGTTTCATTACAAGATACACGATTGGTGGAAGCCGTACTTTTAATTCTCCCTGATTTGGGGAGGGATATCTCAAACTAACTGCAGAAAATTATTACCTTCACAATTCATTTTCCCCATATTNTGGTGTTGGTGGCTGCTTATTCTTTTTCCAGTTGCTAATGCTGAGATTTTGGAAGACAAACTGACCACAAACGAAGCTAACATGTGACAGAACATTATCCATGCGAGCATGGGGCTGTACTTTGTGGGGTGACATGATGTATTATTTAAAGGGTTGCTTTCTATTCTTAGATATTACAGTTGCTTTAGAAAGAAACTTGATATTTTCTTTATTGAACGGTGAAAGTTTCCAGGATCTGTAGTAGATTGAAACATTGTTTTTTAAAAATGTTTTGCACCATCTTTCTGTTGAAGTGAGGAAGAAAAAACTTTTTTACGATGACCATTTTATGTTGCAAATTAAACGAATCGATTCATGGAAACTGTTTTTCTATCATAGGTTGCCAATTAAATGATGAGGACCAATTCTGTGCAATTTTTGTGATGATGAATTGGCCAATCCTATGGGCGAGCAGTGGCCTCTTTCTGTCATACAGACTCATGAAACAAATTATAGTTTAAGCTCAGACTTATTTGAAATTATAGTTGAAGCACTGTTCTTTTCAAATGTTTTGCACCATTTTTCTGTTGAAGTGGCGAAGAAAAAAAAATTTACAATGACCTTTTTATGTTGGAAATTAAACGAATCGATTCATGGAAACTGTTTTTCTATCATAGGTTGCCAATTAAATGATGAGGACCAATTCTATGCAATTTTTGTGATGATGAATTGGCCAATCCTATGGGCGAGCAGTGGCCTCTTTCTGTCATACAGACTCATGAAACAAATTATAGTTCAAGCTCAGACGTATTTGAAATTATTGTTGTAACACTGTTCTTTTCAAATGTTTTGCACCATTTTTCTGTTGAAGTGGGGAAGAAAAAAAAAATTACAATGACCTTTTTATGTTGGAAATTAAACGAATCGATTCATGGAAACTGTTTTTCTATCATAGGTTGCCAATTAAATGATGAGGACCAATTCTATGCAATTTTTGTGATGATGAATTGGCCAATCCTGTGGGCGAGCAGTGGCCTCTTTTTGTCATACAAACTCGTAAAACAAACTATAGTTCAAGCTCAGACTTATTTGTCAACTCTCGTTATGAGTTACAAATTTTTGAAACCTGCACCCAGGGATGCAAAGACTCACTCATGAGCCGAATAAATTGTTGTTCGGACTTGACTCATTTATTAAATAATCTTTAAGATTGACCAGATTTAATTGTCAATAACTTGATTTATTTATAAGACATGATTTTTAAAATAAAAAAAAAAATTAGTTTTTATGCCCAACGATCGAAGTTTTGAGATAATTTAGTACATATTTTTAGGACAAATATATTTGTTCCAATAATAAGAAATTAAGCTCTTAACCTGTATGTTATACTTTTTGCCCAGTCTATCAGCCAGCAAGACATCCTACCTCCACCTGTTTTGTGGCATGAGAAGTCAGCCAATATTGGATGCTTTTTACCTGAAAGGTTAGTATTTCTGACGAACTAACTTGTTTCCCATTGCCAAAAGAGAAGATTGGATCATAGTAGTTGGCAAAAAATCTTTCTATGGGATCTCCCCTTAGTGGACGAGAAAGAGAGGATTTCTTGGAGCTGCTAGCCACCAGTCTAAGAGTGCAAACATGAGCCAAAGATAGATCAGGCCTCCGCCTCTGTTATATCAGCTGCCTTGCATAATAGAAATAGCATTGGGTGACACTGTTATGATTAGTATTGGATTGTTGAGGACATGATGTCAGTTCAATACTCCAATGTCTCGGCATATATCTCGTGTACTGGAATACTGTCTCAAAAGGGACTCTAGTTTTATATTTAATAGGTAGCCTTATAAGCCAAGTTCATTGGGCATTTGATCTAGGTAGCCTTATAAATTATACTTCATTTCTCTATTCTACCCATCCCAAAGTCTATCTCAGGACCCCCTCTAGCAAAATTGGCTCATCGGCTAGTGTTTGAATATTATATTGCAAAGCAGCAAGAAAGCATAAATACGTCTTATTTTTTATATCCTGAATGAGTTGCTTGTACTTCTCATTGCTAACCTAGGATGCAGAGCAGAGAAATTCAAGAAATGAGAAAGTATCAACTAAATTAAGAAGATTTACAGTTATTGGCGTGGTCAGATATAGCTCATTTGGTCTACCTTCAAGGTAAATTTCTTTGTAAAAAGCTGATTGTTGTATGATACAGTTCTTATTTCGAATCATGGTTTTATTGTGAGACGCATGACTTCTAATTCTTTGAAACTGACAAGACAAAGGTGCCAAATATGTTGTACTTTAGAATATGAACTAATTAATTTATTTACTTTTATATGGGTAGAATAAATAATTGTGTTTTTTTATCTTTCTACTTCTTATGTTAAAAGGACAAAATAATTTTAAATGACATGCCTGTCACATCAGCAAAGGAGTTTTGGAAGGTCATTCACTGTGATATAAAAACTAGAGTTAATTCAAAGGACAGAGTGCACATTCGTATATGCAAATGAGCTCTCTCTAGCCTTAACGAACGTAGTAAAATTCTAGACAGTTTGGTATTCTATTACAGCTGTGGTTCTCAAAGTTTGTATTTCTTCTCATTTTAATGTTACAATTATATCGGTCTTTGATGTATTGAATTTGTTTTTAAGTGGCTCCCATGTATAACACTGTTTAAATTTTTAACGGTTTTTATTCATGTACTCCCAAATGAAGGGTATTTTACCCTGAAGATTACTTTAACTCCAGAGCTAGTACTGGTATTTTGTTCCTCTGAACCTCAAGGTAACAATTCTTTTATTGAACCATTTCTCCTTAGAGTTAATGTCAAGGTGCTTCTCAACCTCTCCTCCACTTTCCAATGGTTTGCTGCAACGGCGTCAGGCTTATAGCTATTCCAGGAAAGAGGCATAGGCATGAGTTGACATATTTAGTGTATCATGCCATAGGATTCCAGGAAAGACATAGCATTTATAACTATATACCAAGTATATCAAAGCTAGACTCCGTTAAACACCATATTCAAATCTTATTTCCTGTCCATATGAATCAAACTCAGATACTACCACCTCCAAAGATAAATAAGCAGAACAATAGTGAGGAAAAAAAAATTAAATTATAGAGCTGTTATGGCCTTAATTAACTACCTGTTGCAATTATTCATGGAACTATTGCTGCTTAACTTGATATTGAGAATAAGCTGGGTTTCATTACAAGATACACGATTGGTGGAAGCCGTACTTTTAATTCTCCCTGATTTGGGGAGGGATATCTCAAATTAACTGCAGAAAATTATTACCTTCACAATTCATTTTCCCCATATTGAAAGGATAAGCAGACCAACAACTGTCGAACACGAGGCAGCTACTGCAACCACCACAAGCAGAAATGCATAGACAAGACCTGGGAAATTGAAGTATTTTTGGATCTTCTTAACAATAACAGGTGTTAATGCAGCGGTGCCTGCCACTCGAAATGGTCTTGTGATGTTGTTTCCAGTCCACATCAAGATCACAATCTGTCATCAGAAAAGTGCATTAAGAGAAAACAGAGGCTAAGAGATGAGAAAGAGTATGACCATCACAGAGCAGGCAAGAGATACACACACAACAAAATACAGGCGCATAATAGGAACATTTACTCAAGCATACCACCTTCCTCCACTCTATGGGAACCACTTTCCTCATATTTATTGTCCCTTTGTTTCATGCTAACAGAACAGGTTTCTACCTACGCATGTTCTAGTGAAGAGTAATTTATGTATGTGTGACTTCAATGCACATCATTCACGCAATTTCAAGCGCTTGATGCAGGTCAAAAGATAAAACTCTCGTGAGCCCCATGAGACACACCCGTTCTGTGTTTCACAATGCAGAGGTGAGAGTGGGATAGAAATTACTTGAGTTTGACATCACCAACCATCTGAGGGGAAAAGCCAATGATACCAGTTTCAGTTGTCCTTTTAGCAAAATAAAAGATATCTAGAATTCCACCCCATGCTGACAAGTCATCACCAACTCCACAACCAATAGAGAAGGTAAAAGCTTGTCGCTCAAGGGATTACTTGAGAGATAAACCTGGTAATCTCTCCACTATCTTACCCACAAGCACTGCTTTTGTCGGTTCAAATGCTAAGGCTTATGAATGATCATCAAGCTAATGATGAGCGCAAACACTACTAATATCTACAGCTGTGCATCCTTAAACATGAATACTGTACAAAGTCAAATGGACATTTGTTTGAAAGGGCCGCACAACAGGGTGGTCTCATTTGGATCACACAGTTTTCCATGTGAGATATATTGGCTGTGAAAAATATTGAAAGTAGTCTGCAATTCCTCTACCACTCCAGAGCAAAAACAGAACTTGGGTGAGCAAAAGCCGTTTAAACTTGAAGTCATTGTCCACTAATCAGGTGCAATGACAAGATGGAAAAGTTCAAATTCAGAGAACATGGTTACCCACTTATGCTGGAGTAGGAAAATCAACGCAACCCTTATATGGCACAACACCACGAAAAATAGTTTTCCCCAAGATTCCAAAGGTAAAAAATATAAGTGAATGACAAATCTTAGCATCCCACAATCAGTTTGAATCCATTCTAACTAGGATCAGACAAGGTACAAACCACTACACTTCAAATACCAAAATTTTCTATCCCTAGCAAGCAACGATGAACCACGGGTAATTGCCTATTTCCTAAGAGAATGATAAAATTCATTCAAGACAGACTTGCACATCTATGTTCACCTTGTATTTCATGCATGCTCTCTCTGTCTCGATCCCACAATGGTTACTACTTGAACCAAGGGAGTCAAATACACAACGTCAGCAATCTGGCGTAGAGCACAATGTCTTACATGTTTACAAGTCCATGAATTCAATTGTAAAGAAACCTTGAGCCCAATAGAGCTTGGAGATTGGCAGCAGGATTCTTCCCTGTACTCTTCTCATATCCAAGAAATGCAAGCACAAAGAAAGTTGTGTGAGTGACACCGTCGAACAAGCCATAAGCAAGGACAGCCGCAAGCCCGAGCTTCGCAAGTTTGGAACTCATTTCGGTCGAATTTGCCTAATAAAACACACGTCAAGAATCGAATTTCACAAAGGGTTCCCACCGATGAGGACCAAGAAACCGTATCCCAAATGAGTTTCCCTAAATGANCAAGCTCAGACTTATTTGTCAACTCTCGTTATGAGTTACAAATTTTTGAAACCTGCACCCAGGGATGCAAAGACTCACTCATGAGCCGAATAAATTGTTGTTCGGACTTGACTCATTTATTAAATAATCTTTAAGATTGACCAGATTTAATTGTCAATAACTTGATTTATTTATAAGACATGATTTATAAAATANAATAAAACACACGTCAAGAATCGAATTTCACAAAGGGTTCCCACCGATGAGGACCAATAAACCGTATTCCAAATGAGTTTCCCTAAATGGCTGTAACGTAATTTTTACAAACACACAGATAGCAGTGAAAAAACCTCACCTTCCATTTCTTCCAGAATCCGTTGTTATGCTGAATCTAGCAAAACAAAAGATATTTCAACCACAACCCACAGAGAGAGATAGAGAGAGAGAGAGAGCAAACAAGATGGAGAAATAATGGNATCTAGCAAAACAAAAGATATTTCAACCACAACCCACAGAGAGAGATAGAGAGAGAGCAAACAAGATGGAGAAATAATGAGAAGTGGCAAAAGGAGAAACTAACCTCTAATTCTTGCTCTTCTTGGGGTAAGTTTTCCTCAGCGGACGCTCTTTGACTAGCAGAAGAACACTTAACAAAAACAGTTGATTTTGGGTGAATTTCAAGATTGATGAAACGGTAGCTATGTTGACACAATCGATGATTCAAGCTATTGATTTTGATTCTGTAGCTGTTAAGGTTGCCGTAAATGTAATAAGGGGAGAGAAGAAATGGGTATGTAGGACATGAAAGTGGCAAACACAACTCCACATCTTTCAAACACCACAATCTTCGGCCTCTCCACTCTTCTTCACTTCAAATAACTACTTCTNACTTGCACATCTATGTTCACCTTGTATTTCATGCATGCTCTCTCTGTCTCGATCCCACAATGGTTACTACTTGAACCAAGGGAGTCAAATACACAACGTCAGCAATCTGGCGTAGAGCACAATGTCTTACATGTTTACAAGTCCATGAATTTAATTGTAAAGAAACCTTGAGCCCAATAGAGCTTGGAGATTGGTAGCAGGATTCTTCCCTGTACTCTTCTCATATCCAAGAAATGCAAGCACAAAGAAAGTTGTGTGAGTGACACCGTCGAACAAGCCATAAGCAAGGACAGCCGCAAGCCCGAGCTTCGCAAGTTTGGAACTCATTTCGGTCGAATTTGCCTAATAAAACACACGTCAAGAATCGAATTTCACAAAGGGTTCCCACCGATGAGGACCAATAAACCGTATTCCAAATGAGTTTCCCTAAATGGCTGTAACGTAATTTTTACAAACACACAGATAGCAGTGAAAAAACCTCACCTTCCATTTCTTCCAGAATCCGTTGTTATGCTGAATCTAGCAAAACAAAAGATATTTCAACCACAACCCACAGAGAGAGATAGAGAGAGAGCAAACAAGATGGAGAAATAATGAGAAGTGGCAAAAGGAGAAACTAACCTCTAATTCTTGCTCTTCTTGGGGTAAGTTTTCCTCAGCGGACGCTCTTTGACTAGCAGAAGAACACTTAACAAAAACAGTTGATTTTGGGTGAATTTCAAGATTGATGAAACGGTAGCTATGTTGACACAATCGATGATTCAAGCTATTGATTTTGATTCTGTAGCTGTTAAGGTTGCCGTAAATGTAATAAGGGGAGAGAAGAAATGGGTATGTAGGACATGAAAGTGGCAAACACAACTCCACATCTTTCAAACACCACAATCTTCGGCCTCTCCACTCTTCTTCACTTCAAATAACTACTTCTACAGGTCATCCATATCAAACTAAATTATTCATGAACGACTATTTGATTTTCTATCATTGTGTTGTTGACAAGAATCAAACCTACTTTAAGTCTATAAAACATTGATCAAGATAATACCATTATGTTATTATTTATTAACGAGAATCAAATTTTTTTTGAGTCTATCCAATTTTAATCATTTGGGTTGTCCTTCGAGTTTTCGATGTTAATTTTATGATAATATTAAGCTTAAAAGTGTATTATTTTTCCATATTGAAGAGTGTGGCTATGCCTTGACCCAAAAAAAAAAAAAAAGTGTGTCTATGCAACCTTGATTTTGCCCTTTTGATGCGTTTCAAGATGACACTAACCTCAAAAGTATGATATTTTTTATACATTAAAGCAGACAATAGTTACCATTTAGGTCTAGTTGGGAATACGAACATGAAATGGCTTGCAGCTTTGAGGTACTTGTATATGAACTTTGGAGGTAATTGGATATTGAGTAATGGTATTCATGCTCATTTGGCCAAGAATAGTAATGGGAATCTGACTAGAGAAGTTCAATGGTCCTCCCCAAAAAAAGAGCCAAATTTAGCATAATCCTTTTAGAAAGCTGTATTGAATCCCAGAATGACTCCTCTAGTAGTTAAAACATAGACTCAAAAGATAAGCAATTAGCATATATTATTTTGAGACAAAACCAGTCAAGGAAATCATTCTCCCACAGCTAACAACAACACAGTTATCTTAAACTAATAATAACATTTCCCTCACTTCCACAGCGTAGCAGAAGTTTGTGTTTTCTACACATGATCCACACAACAAGATAGTCTGATTCATAACCTTAAAAAAAAAAAGGGGAAGACTCAGAAAATTTAAAGGAAAAAAGGATATAAGGACTATGATATTTTGCCCACTGTGTCGATTCCTCAACTAAGCATGTGCACATATACTACAAAGGGAAATCGATAAAAACATTCTCAGAATACTTGGTGCAGCTTAATTTCCCCCTATTTTTTGTTTTATTCTTTTTCTCTGGCCCACCAAATTTGCTGCATGGGCTTTAAAATCAGCAAAATTGAGAGCTCCTAGCCCTCCTTGCTTCTGAACCAGATGAATAGATCATGTCCACAAGATTGTCACACAATGTTCAACAGCAACACTTGGTCACCTATGGGAGAGAAAGGCTTCCATCCAGCCATAACAGTTTCATGGTGTCACAAACCTCAAACCTACAAAAGTAGCCACTGCATGGATAAAGGTCAAACCTAATGATCTTGGCCCTGTGACAAAACAGGAACTTAATCCTTGAAGCAAATACACTTTAGCAACCTGGTCCAGAAACTAACCACCTCTTTTGATTTGGTTGGGTCAACAGGTTCCTTGAATTTTGCATTTTGGCTAAGCTCTTCAAAGGAGTCAACAAGATTTTGAAGCCTTGCAACAAACTCAATTAACAAGGAAGTAAATGTTGCCAATGACAATGCACTTGCACTTTCATAAGTCTTTACTTCACGTTCATTGAGAATGGTATCACCGAAAACTGAGAGACGGGATGGCCATTGTGTCTGCTGCTTTAACATGATTTCTGAGGAGCCCAATTGTGACACAGAAACATTGGTGCTCATGTTTGGATTATGAGGATCCCAGTTTCTTAATGTCTGAGCTGATCTCAGGTTGAGATTTGCTTCACTGAGGGAGTTTATCACCAAATTTTTATTTTCATTGTCCTTTAGTTCTTCGAAGTTATCCAGGTCTTCAAATTTCTTAGGTCGTATCCCACTTTCCAAGATCCCAGGATTGACCATAAGGTATGATTTTTGATCTATCTTCATTTGCAACTCTTCTGCAGCCTCATGCACTTCATGGAGCAAGTCACCAGGGCTTAATTTTTCCATCTTTTCTACTTTGTCTCTAAGCACGTGCAACACTTTAGCTCCTTCAGTGCCTACCCTATGAATCTCGTTCCTAAACACCTGTCTTAATTCAGAAGCCGCCTATAAGAAAGAGGCAAAAAGACTCAGCCCAATATACCAATCTGTAAATCATTAAAAAACCGAAAGAAACCCCCAAAAAATAAAATGTAATCATTCAACTACTTGGACAAGCAAATGGTCATAGAAGCATACTTATGTCCATATGGAATTAGGAAGGGCAACAGAGATGACTAGAACCACAGAATATACATCATTTTGGGTAACAAATTTGGCAAGATTCCATTTCCATGCATGCAGCTATATTGGCTTTCACACCTTTGGTTTTGAATCACATAATGTACCAGATAATTCACTAAAGAAAAATATTAAGTTTTCCCTTTTGTGAAGCATAAAGAAAAAAGAGGTCACACATAGACTCCAACTGCATCACCGTACATAACCTCATCTAAAGTCTCAACAAGGGAGGCACAAGAGGTAACATTCGGAGTAATGATAAGCACTGCTAAGTAGTACTCTGGTTCAAATTCGGAAATCAGCCTCTTCAGAAAAGTGAAGGCTATCACTACCTCTCCAAACACCCTTATAGGTGGGAGCCTTGTGCAACGATACTACTTTTACTTTTCAATACAGGATGCAAAGTTTGCTGTCCATAAATTCATTATCAAATGAGGATATCATCATGATTAGCTGTACTGCATGATCAAACACCTCACATACCAAAAGAAAGACACAAACATGCAAAGCACACATAAAGGCAGCACAACCCAAATTTTGTTCAGGTAAAATGCTGACCAACAAACCCAATGAAACTCAATATAGATATATTTCTGCACATTAGCCATTACATATTTCTACACCAGAACAACCTATTGTACCATTACATCTAATATTCGTTTTGTCCAAGTCAAGAATATTGCAAAAA